GAGGAACAGCCGGTAGCCCCCTCCAGCAGGGGCCGGCACGTCCCTTGGACGGGAAACGTGATGTTTCCCAAATCGGTTTCCCCTCCAAAGTGACCCGAGAGCGACGAACGAACATGGGAATTCCCTGCCCGAAAACATAATGTGCTGAAAACAAAATCGTTTTGAGTCCAAGCCCGTTCGGCTCCATCCCGACGCGGCCCTGCCCTCCCGATCTGCAGGGCCGGAAAGTTTCCAAAACTCCAACGGAGGCGACTCCGTGGGCTGGCTCAGCAAGCTGTGCCAGAGAGATTTTCGGCCACTCCCTCTCCATCACCCCTCGCTCTGCATGAAACGGGGGCGGCCCGCCCCGCGCCATCGGTACCTTGGACCTCCGGGTGTTTCGCCAGGAGCAGGAAGCCGTATCTCAGCGTGGCGCTCACCATCTCGGTCCCCCCAAAGAACAGATGCACCGTGCTCAGCGTCAGGTTCCTCGCGTGGAACTCGCTGTGCGGGTTTTGCTTTTCCTGGCCAGGGGAGACCAACACAAAGCCCCCAGACTCTCGCTCAGGACGCTCCGACTCCGGGGAGACGAACGGCACCCCGAGGTCTGTGACCAGGTTTGCACCAGACCCAATCGAGCTCACGAGTCCCCAGGCGGGCGGGGAAGCGCTGGGCTGGGTTCCCTAGGGAGGGGTGGAATCTCCATCCCTGGAGGTGTTTCAGTCCCAAGCCCTGGCTGGGCGGATGGAGTCGGGCTGGTCCTGCTTTGGGCAGGGGGCTGGACTCAGCGCCTCCTGAGATCTCTGCCCGCCCGCGGATTCCGAGAGGGGGCACAAGACGCTTCCCGCGCCCACTTGGCATTTGGGTAAATAACGGCGCTAGGTGGAGAAACGGGTCTCTTCCTAGTGCCCAGCGAGCTGCGGCCTCGCCTCCCTGGCTCCGCGTCGGGGCGTCCCGGAGCCCATCGAAACGGGTCCCGGGCGACGGAGATAAAGGGGATTCTTCCTAGTGCCCAGCGAGCTGCGGCCTCGCCTCCCTGGCTCCGCGTCGGGGCGTCCCGGAGCCCATCGGAGACCCCCCCAAGATACCGCCCCCCCCGCCCCGTACCTCTTCCATCTTGATGAGGAAAGCGTCGATATAATCCCGCGGGCAGCTGGGGTCCAAGGTCTCCTGGTTCCTCCGCATGCGCCCAGTGACGAAATCGTGCAGCACCCCGACGTGCACAAGGATCCGGTTGTGGGGGCCAGGGAGGAACCGCAGGAGGCCTGAAAACATCTCGTAGAGCTGCGGGGGGGGGGGGGGGGGGGGCACGCA